ACATACATTTAAAATTACAAGCATTCCTTATAGCTTCACCGCCGCTATTATCATTACCACTAGCAGCATTAGATTCAACACCAACCAATAAATAATCACCCATGAATTTCCTCATACTTAATAAACTGAAGCGTCTACGTTCCTTCCTACCGTCCAAAATTTGATGACCATAATCGCGTAATTGTACATAAACTATCTGATCCTTGTTTTTTCTCCAATACCTTTGTATACGTGTCGCACATTCGTTTTTGTACCGAACATAGTTACGATATGCTCGTTGAATTCTTATTGCCATATTGTGCCAATATCTATCAATAAGATGTTCAAGCGCCCAAATCTTTTTTTTTTTTTTTATGAAAATAAAAATGAAATTATTTTGGATGAATGAATGAATCAATACTAGAAATTGATGGTGTTATTACTATTACTATTATTATATTATAATTATCAAGTACCGTTTCAGGACTTCTTATGAAAATTTTTGTTACGCCCATTTGCCACTCTCCTTTTGTAACTCCACAATCTTTCAAAACCACTTCACAACCAGATTTATGGTCACTATTCCATATATACTCGGAAGCATATGAAGTTTTCTTTGAAAGCAAATAAAATCTATAAAATTTATAACATATTATAACATTATGTATCTATTATAATTAGTAACAATATACAATAGTTGTTTATTTTAAATAAAAATCACGCATGCCATAAATATTATTTATCAAATAAAATCACCACCTGTCCAAAAATTTCTCAAAGGTTTGACGATATGCAAAACCGGCTCTACGAACTCTGATATTTTCATTGAGTCCAAGATATTTGATTTGATGTAAAACCATTTTCTCATCGTATTCTGATGGACTTTTATTCTGATTGGGTTTGATGGTCCTGATGTAGGAAGGTTGAGACTGCATAAGATTTTTAACAAGCTCATTAGCAGACAATTTGATTTTATCACCAGCAGTCGGTGGACGTTTCTTGCTATCTTTGTTAACTTGATCTGGAAATAGAGTGTGCAAGAATTCATTTGGACTGGAATCAATCAATTCCAACAAATCCTTTAACAATTGATCCTTGTTTTTATCAGTCATTCCAGGTATATTGTAAAGCACGTCGCCGGCATAATGTTTGATTAGAAATTTACTACCGCGTGATTCAAAATGTTGATTCGTTGATAAGAAACCAAGACGTTGCACGAAAGAGCTATCCGCAGCATCAGAATCAGCATGAGCAGTGGCACAAGCGTCATTTAAAGCAGCAAAAATACCAGGTGGTCTTTTCTCTTCAATCAAATCACACACCACCTTATTATTAAAGAAATCTATTGGTGTCCATTTGATTTTTTCTCTTGCATACTCCTCCTGTTCAGCTTTCAATGTCAATTCGATGAAGATCTGTTGAAGCTTTTCGTTGACATAGTTGATACACAATTGTTCAAAACTGTTATCATCAAATATTTCGAAACCGTAAATATCTAAAACTCCTATAACATATGATGTCTTTTGTCGTGAACGAAGTGCAGAATTTATACGGTCTACTATCCAATCAAATAAATTATTATAAATTGCTTTTGCAAGTGCATCTCTAACAGCTGAAGCCTACCAATTAATTATTATAAATTCATTAAATTCATCAGTTAATCATATTATTTTATCTTATTTAGGAAGAAATATGATATGTTTATATTACTTGAACAGGATTAAGCGGTACTTCATAGACAGAACCACGACGACCACCACGAGTTGTTTCGATTGTTCTATTTGTTAGTACCTGCAAATAATATCAATTCGTGTAAAAAATAAAAATAATTATAATTTTATAAAACAAAATTTAATGGATTTAATAATGGTGATAAATACTTTGTGCATTAGCTCTTGTTCAACTTCCATTAGAAAAGCAATAAAATTTGCAACTATAAAAGTTTAAAGGCAAATAAATCAATATTAGTAAATACAAATACAACGACGACGACGACGACAATAACAACAACAACATTTTCATTTTTTACCATTTTCATCAGAAATCACCGAATTTCCATCGTCACCTTCTTCAAATTGTACGTTTCCTAACCATAAAATTATAGATAACATTCTAAATATATCATTTTGTTCATCTTGTGTGATTCCAATAATTTCCATTGATTTCTAAAAATTAATACTATCATTAATAATTGTTATTATTATTTTATTTCATCCATTATAAATATAAGGGTGCAAAAATTTTATTACCAAAGTTTCAGAATAATCTTCTTCGTCAATGATTCCATCTACGTCCAAACATCCACTTGCACTAGTATACAAATAACTTTCAGGTCCTTGAATTCCAAAATTTTCTTGGTAATCAGACGAAGCGGCTTTAGTAAATTGATAAAAAATATGAAAGTTTCTTTCATTTTCAATCTGACCAACTATACGTCCCTAAAATAAATAAAATAAAAAAAGTCCAATTAATTGCTTTATTATCAGCTCAATTCAACCACATATTGTATCTGATATCTACTTTTTCTAATAAATAATTTGTTATTACAGCACCAACAGGTTCATTTTGGGAATTAAATTGAATCTCCAAATATTTTCCCTATAAATCAAATTAAGATATGTTTAATATATAATTATCATGATAATAACAATAATCATAATAATTATTTACATGACGACTTGAATTATTATTTCTCAAAGTTTTTGCGCAACCAAAACTTTCTAGTAAAGGGTTAGTTGCAAGAACCATATCTTTGATTTCTTGTATTGAAGAAGATTCGCCACCACTAACAGTCGCAATATATTGCATAATCTAAAAAAATTTATAATTGTAAAAGAAAAATTTAATGGATGGATGGATTGATGAATTGATTGATTGATGAAAATTACCCTTTTTGCAGCCTCTTGATTTTTGATGGTTGATTAAAATAATAATGAATATTAATGATTCGTAAATAATATTATTATTGACGGTTTATTAATAAATGATTTACCAGTTTTTCCTGCACCAGATTCTCCACTAATATTGTTATAAATATTAATAATTATATTGCAAATCTTTGCGACGATTTTAATAATTATTTTACCTGATAATAATACACTGATTTTCTTTATAATTTCTCATATTATAATAGGCAGATTCAGCAACGGCATAAACATGTGGAGGCATCTTTAATTAGAAAAGTTATCATTATCATCATTGATTAATTATTTTATTCACATATAATATTAATAATATCAATCTAAAAATGAATGATTAATTAATTCATTACCTCTAATCTATTTTTACCAGTATAACTTTTCAATATTTCATTAGTATATATTCCCCAATCTTTAAAAGGATTTACACTAATCAATACATGTCCAATATATGTCTAAATATTATGATAAATATTATGTTATTTGGAACGAATAATAGTAATAATCATCTTTGCTACCTCCTCTTACATACATAAATTTCATGATTTCCAAATCGCTTCTTTAGATTCTCGTTAATTGCATCGTTATTAACCTTACTCAACATCGTCATATCTGCTACACCGACTTGCTTTTTTTTAAAGCCCTCTTTCCAATCAGCTCTTTCTATTTTACGTTGTTGTTGTTTCTTTTTGGTTGCCTAAGAATGATGGAATGAAAAGTAAAAAAGATGATCAGATCTATCGCATTTAAAACTTTATACTAATGCTATTATTATTGGTTATAAAACCATTGTTGCTGTTATAATTACACACCATCTTGAAGAAAGTTTGTTAATTGACTTGGCAAAATACAAAATTTTGAGGACTGCAAAACTTCCACTTCTCTGTTGTACAAACAATATGCATATATATGGATCAACATTTAATGCTCTCGATAAAATTCGTCAATTTTAAATATTCTCTACCTAGGATCGTTGGTGTGCATCTATAAGCAAATAATATTTGGTATCTTTAATAAAGTCGCTTATTAATACATTTAAAGTAAACTTTTTCACATCTATTAAGAAGCATTTGCAGGACATAAAAAACATACCAATAGAAAGATTAGGTTCTATTTAACTAGTATGCTGTCAAAGTAATTCAAAAAATGGGGATGTAATTTGGAAGTTTAGATGAAAGTTTATTCAAAAAATAAATAAATATTTATTTCTCTTATACTTTGGAGAAATGTAATGAATGTAAGGTACGAGTGGTTAGTTGAAATGGAATGTGGCGTGTGTTATTTATTAGTCAATGGCAAATGTAATATATATTAATGTTGGGAATTTAGTTATCAACAATTAGCAGATAACTATACCGCTACTAAATGTGGTGATTTCTAATACTAATTATTACAATAATACCTATAAATCCATGAAAATATTATTTAATATCTTAATTATTAGAAAAAAGTTGGGTTGAATGTGTCTTGTTAGATTTCAGATAAACCCTAATTAATACTATGAGGATCATTGTTGTAATGTCTTCAATTAAGATGATCACACAAAAGATTAAAGATACAGGTTCTTAATTGCTTTATAATAAGATGGGTTTACTCCTCTTCCAGGCGGAGATTCAATTAAAAAAATTAAATTTTTATGTATTTTAATTTTGTCCAGAATTATTCTCAAATTATAATCGCATAAAAGCATAATTTGGAGCATAATTTACAAAAAAAAAGCATAATCCTGGACACATTATATATTTTATGATCGACATCTTTGGTTCATTTTTTCTTATTACTACTACTTGTTACGTTAATATAATATTATTTTCTTCAATCTCAATATCATCCACATCATCATTATCCATGAATTTTTGTTATTAGCTTTCTGCTTTACATTTTCATTTCTATCTTTTAGATTATGGCATTTTTTATTTTCAGTTACACCATTTGCTGTTTCTAAACCAACCCCATCATCAACTGTTTTTTCTCCAAGATTCTCTCTTCTTGGTAATTTTGCAAGCGATCAAAATTACAAGATTCCAATTATAGCATTTCATAGATAAAATCCATCAAATTTAAATAAAAATGATATTGATCATCATCAGATTCATACAAAAAATGCCGTTGATAAAACAGCTGGAGGATATTTTAGAAAAGCGCAAAGATCGTAATTTATTACGCACACTAGTAGCAAAAGATTTAAACCAGATAGATTTTTCATCCAATGATTTCTTGGGTTTATCAAGGAATCAACAATTGAAACAGTTATATATATCGGAAATTTTAAATTTACCAACAGATGAACCATTATTAGGTTCAACAGGATCTCGATTATTGGATGGAAATTCCCAATCAGCAGACGCATTAGATGATTATCTCGCTGCGTTTCATAGAGCAGAATCAGCCTTAACATTCACATCAGGATTTGATGCAAATGTAGGTTTTTTTGGAAGTGTTCCGCAACCTGGAGATGCCATTATAATGGATGAATTTATACATGCTAGCGTACATGAAGGAGTAAAGAATTCCAGGGCCAAATTTATAGTGAAATTTAAACATAATGATTTAGAAGACTTTGAAAAAGCTTTAAAATCAATAGTAGAAAAGATTAATAATAGAAATAATAATATATTTATTGCAGTTGAGGGTTTGTATTCCATGGATGGCGATGTTGCACCATTAAAAGAAATTGTTGAAATTTCACGACCTTACAATAATGTATATTTAATAGTTGACGAGGTATTATTTATTATTTTTTTGTAATGTGTGTATATAAATTATATTTAAATATATAAACGTATAAATCTAAATTTTACAAGTAGGCACATTCAACTGGAGTTTATGGTAGACAAGGAAGAGGAATTGTTAATGAATTAGGCTTAGAAGATCAAGTATTTGCACGTCTTCATACATTTGGAAAAGCATTGGCTAGTAATGGAGGTGACTAATGTAGCATTTATTTAGAAATAATAATATTATTATAAGTATAGTCTATTAATAATTATCAATAATTAATAATAATAATGATAAAACAGGTGCAATACTTGGACCTAAAGTTCTCAAGTCATATCTTTTAAATTATGCTAGACCTCTGATATTTTCCACATTTCTGCCATATAATAACCTCATTGGTATAAAGTGTGCTTACAAGATTATGTCAAGCGAATTAGGAGATCAGGTGATTATCAGTTATTAATAATAAATAATTTAATTTAATTAATGACTATATTAATATTTATTATAGTTGCGAAAAAATCTAAAAAGATTAATCGTATTGTTTAAATCCACCATAAAACTACCATCTCATATGTTATTGTCATCTAATAGTCAAATTCAAGGCATCATAATTCCGGGTAAAAATTTAATTTTTATCCGCTTGATCAATTAATTAATTTAATTATTACAAAGCGATAGTAATATTTATTGTTATTATGTAGGAAATGAAAATGTTGTGTTTTTAAGTCGGCTATTACAAAAATCTGGATATAATGTTAAAGCAGTTAGATCACCAACTGTACCAATCGGTAAAGAGCGTATAAGAATATGTATACACGCGGATAATACTGAAGATCAAATTAAAAGTTTAGTGAAAATTATCGAGGAAAATACTTATAAGTACTTTTTAAATAATAAATTGTAAAGTTTATAATTTATTCATTAACTGTATGGTATTGGGGTGTTGCACATCAGTATAAACACAAATATAATTGACACCACATTTAAAAAATAAACTCTTATTATCAAATAGACCTCTATTTAAAATTAGTATATTACTACTACATAACATATACTTCGGTATAATGAATGGCTTTATTTTTTTAATTATTTGTTTATAAAAAAGTTATATCTAAAAAAAAGTTTTAAATAAAAATTTTAAAAATCCACCACAATTAAATGGAAATGTAAGTTCCAAGCTTCCATTTGATACTATTTTTATAACAGTAAGAGAAGGATTGGTGGACTAGATAGATTTATTAGATTATTATATTAAATCCGTTTTTAGAAAGATCATCACGTTGAATGCATTTTTCGCAAAATCTTATATATATATGAAATTTATATTAATATTATTCAATAGCTCAGACTCTTATTGTGAATATAAATTTAATGATTTGTACTATCTTGAATTAAAGAAGTGAAAATCAATTATCAATAATACATTAATAACAATAAAGATTTGCTGATTGTGTTTCGAGTTTTCTAGATCTTGTATATAGAATCATGAAATTTCATGTTTAGTATCTAAAACCAAAAGAAAAAAAGACTTTCATTTGATATAATTTAACCACAAGAACCTAAATTACAAATGACTTTTTATTTACTTTTTTATCATGTGATATTTTGTAGAATTTTCGAAAAACTGCATTTGAATACTTTCTTTCCAGGTACTGTATATATATATAAACTAAAGCAAATATTTCAATGTAAACAAAGTTAGGTGAAACATTCAAAACTAATTTTTTTAAAAAATTGATCATCATTTTACCCAATAAAAAATTTTCCCTTATTATTATATATACAGTGTGTTAAGAAAAAAATTGGCCTTCGGAGATGTAAAATTTAAAATGCATAATTTCCATACCATAATAATTAAATAAATCATAACAAATCAATTTAAGACAATAACAATCGACTCTGTAATTTAGTTTTAATTAAATCTATAACCTTTTAAACATCGTCTTTGTGCTTTAAAAATGACTGCAAACAAGTTAAATTCTCAACGCCAAACTCTTGTAATAATGGAGTCCGATCTCAAAAGGAACTCCACAAAATTACTAATATCCCCCTCTCAACAATCAAGTATAATGTCCAAAAATTAAAAAAAACTGAAGATGTTGCACATAGACGAAGCAATGGTCGTTCCAAAAAGATAGGTTTACGCGAGTCACGTGACCTCAAGCAGTACATTCGCGAAGACAGTTCCCTATCTTTGCGAATCCTGGCTACTAAATTGTCCAAGAATGGATTTAAAGTGTCCCATATAACAGTTGGAGCACAATTAAAGGAGCTTGGTTACAAAAATAGTCTTCCAAATGGTACACCAATGCGAGTTGAATGGGCCACAAATCACTTGAATGATCAATGGGAAAAGACCTTATTTTCCGATGAAACAGCTTTTCAATTATTTAGAAATAGAATATCAAAGTGGTATAAGGGCTCTAGACCAATTAGACCTCTTCCCAAGAATCGGCAAAAAATTTTCGCCTGGGGCAGATTTTGTGCTAAAGACAAAACCGCTTTACATTGCTTCACAGAGATCATGGATGCTAAATTTTATATGGAAATTTTACAGCAGCATCTTCCACGCATCAGCACGATGGTTGGACG